TACATATTATTAGACAAGCTAATTATTCATGATTGAAAAGACATGAATATATGAATATAAGGTGAGATATATATATGAAAATCAGCTTGTCTTAGGGTTGGGCTTGATATCTCCTCAAACTTATGTGGACATTCTCAGTCCATATGCTAGCAGTCAGCCATGTTAACTCCAGTCCTGAGGTAGCTGCTACATGCTTAAACAGGATGGGTAGCCAGACAAAGTGTATCTTTTGTACAAAAAGAACAACCCCCCAAAAACGTTGGTCTTTGAAAGGGAAGCAGGGGTTAAAATTAGTAAAATATTCTCAGTTGCAAACAGAAAAAGAAAATCCATATTTTCATGTAATGCATGCTGAAGGGGAAAATATGGATGAGTCTAAATGAAGTTAGTATATTTTTTCTATTATTATTCACGCAACAATTATATGCATAAACTTTATAAAAGTAAATTATCTTAAAATTTGACGATGGGCCCTTTGCCAATGGTTACCAGCACTCATCCTTTACAAGAAGACGACTTTAGCTTCCATTCGCTATGCGCTTAATGGGCTAATGGGCATTTACAAACGATGAACGGTATACAATTATCGACTTTGGTAAAGGTCAATATGCCGGTATTGTTTTGCTGACCTCAGAAAAGTGATATCGACTGATTACTTCTGAGGTCAGCAAATAACATATTGATCTCGGCCAAAGTTGATAATTGCTTTATTATATAAAGCAATTATTGCTTTATTATTATATTGATGCCATGCGTTTATCCCAAGACCAGACATGTAGACTATATCATGCAAATTGAAAACAACTAAATATTTCATTAATATCACAACAATGATATGACCCGACTTTCCGTCGACGTTCTTTGTCGTCACGATTGTGTGGCTGGTTGCAACATTAGATAACAATGGGGTAGGAGACTCGGTCGATATTAATTTTCTGGGACCAGAAAAGAACATATATTGTCAGCGGCCAAAGTCGATAATTGTATATTGACAACAAACAAATGGTTGCGCGCAGGAAGATGTAAAGAATAAGGCTCGATAACTCGACAGCATCTCAAATTTCGACCTCATGAAAGCATAGCGATCGATAGCTATTTTTGATGGTGATTACACCACCATTTAACTCGAAGCCTTAGGAAACGCAACGTAATGATTGCTTCTTCAATTCAATTCAATTTATTAAACCTTTAAGCCCTACGGCTCATCAGAATATAAAACAGTGACAATATAAAGTTATATCTAATCAACTACCATGACTACATGACTCTTCAGAAGTACAATTATAGCCTTAAACTCACAGAAGTTGGGTCGCCGCATGAAGTGAAGACGTCATAGCACAATTACACATAATCCAATTTGGTTTGATTACAAGTATGTGGCTAATCAAGAATTTGCTTTAATTTATAGGAACATCACAATTACAAATACTGATACTTGAAGTGTTTGAAACCAGTAAAATGTCAATAAGCGAAGGGCACGAGCTAATATGTCGGGTCATCCCTTTCTGAAGAATTTTCAATATATTTCAAACGACTATTATGTCTAGATTGGCATTTTATTGACGCTAAAAACGGGACTGGAATACGTCGATATGGGTTATACATGGCCCATACATGTACGTCAATTCCGGAAAGTTCTGTAAAACGTTACAAGAGTTTGTAAGTCCAAGACTTACAATACTTTCGAGAATACAGCCCTAGTCCAAGTTACAAATCCATGTAAATTGTTCCAAATTGTTGTAAGTAATAATGTTTCCAAAATAAAGCCCCTGTAGTCCAATGACAGCACTTTGACTTCTTCGGCGAGGACGATAACGTGTTCGTTCATTCGACCTATGAAAGCTGATTAACATGTATTTGCACAGCCATACAATATCAAGTATATTGACTTTGAAAATCCGTTGTTATTTGTATCTATCTTTTTTGTTGTTGTGTGTGTGTCATTATTACTTTTTCAAAATCTAATCTTCTTTTCGTGGTGGAGGCTTATTGTGCCTCCTCCTAAAACAGACTATAATCCAAACCTAACCGTCCGCACTGAAAGTAGGTGACCTCTTCATCGTTATGTAAATCAGGTGAGCGTTTTGGTGAGAGGTGCTCAGATAGGATCAAGGTCAGTAGAATGGGGAGAAGGACGTCTCATGCCATATTGCTGCTACTGCCAAGTGCAGGCGGAAAATATAGCACTGAAACCGGCAGAAGTATCTCGTAAGTTCCGTGCAAATAACAGAAAATGTATTGTAGGATTTCGTAGTTTTGCATTGACGATAATTTTCCCGAAAAGTTGCACTCTAGGCATAATGACAATGGGGACATCTAACTGACGTGAAGGATACTTTCTCTTAGCTTTCCCTCATTGTCTTTTGGGCACCCTTTGGTTTCTGATTCCATTGTTTAATTTTTAAGTTTAATTGCGATTAGTTAAAGATATTGTCACCCTTCGCCCAAAATTCTTATTTACTGCCTTAGATACCTTCTTTGGGGTAATAAATACATCTTTAGTGTTCAGTGACTAAATTGATTAGTATTAACACGTCATATAGGGACTTGGGGGTAAATACGGAAAAATCTGCCTCCCAACATTCTCTTTTACCTGAGTACCCACGATCACCGTTTCAGTGGCTATTTATGACATCATAAGGTACTCCCAAATCCTGCCACCGATTTTCCCTAAAAGTCGTAGTGAAGATTTTCGAGGGTCTTTTTTCGTTGTTTTCATTCAGCACAAAGATAGATGCATTATTAAATAATAAGATGCAGGAAAAAAGTCATTTTCGGTATCTGGATGATAATAAAGGGTTACAATGTCCTTAATAATTATAACGCTAAGGATACTGACATTGTTTCATGTATGTGAATTTATTCCTTTGATTTCAGTAACTGTAAGTGCCGTTTAAGAAGATATCAGAAGCCTCCTACTCAGAGACACGTTTCGTGTTCGACATATACAGCCCCACACCTATGTCAAGATTTCTTCCAATGCCGACGTTTGTCTGCTCTTCAATTGGCAGGGACGACATTTAGTAGTTATGTTAGTTTTTGGTTGTAACATTCTGCTCCAAAACGTATATCAAATTAAGAGTTGAATGAAATGAGCTTTTTTTATCTATGAAACTTCTCATGGAAATTAAAACCATACTTAGCGTCCGCCCTGCATGTTGCTGGTTTGCTTCTTTTGGTAATTGTATGTTATCATGTCACGTTAGATTTGAACCTCTCAATTTACAGAAATAATATATGTGTAAAAATGATAAAGCGAATGTTTTAAAATGACCATTTATTTATTTTTAAGAAGAGAAATATTTTCTATTTGTCAGTGAAAATATGTGTGTGGGTAAATCTGCAACTTGATTCCTCGCTGTGAACTTGAAGATGTACTTATTCATTTTAAATGATGTTGACTCCCGGGAAGGAAAGACATTGCAACTCTATTATGTAACTTGCATATAGAAAACTTTTGATTACATTTATCGTGTGTTCAGTCGAAAAAGAGGAAGAGATGTCAATCTACACTAGAAAATGTAAATAAAACGTATGAAACCTTTATGTATTACGTGATGCAACGGGCAAAATGTGCCCCTGTTACTGCAGAATTGCCCAACATGTACTATAACGATATTTTAACAATTATGTATATGGCGCTGTGGCTGTGAATAAACTTCCTCTGGTTCTAGGTGTTTTCATTGCTGGGCGGGAATCGAATATATGTTATCTGTAAAAGATTTAAACCACGGGGAGGGGTAATTTAATATTGCAGTACTAGTAGTAAAATGTAGATTTTTCTTGCGTATATGATAGTTGGCTACGAAGATTTCTCAGGATTGGGATCATTTATACGCCGTTTAGGACTTGCATTACAAAGCAGAAATGTCAAAAAACAAAAACGGGAAATAGAATCCATTGTTATTCGTGCTTGGTGTCATCAGTGAACACCGAGAACCAGAGTTGATTTTAAGTAAATGTGAAATATAGATTCAAGTACGCTGATTTTTGCGTAACCTTTTCAGTTTTGTTTGTATTTGATTTTGAATTTGGCAAAGACTTGGATAATCTTGTATCCTCCCTTGTCTTTATGTCTCTCCCGACTCCTATGCTTTGTAAATGTAAATTTTAATCCACAATTACTCACTGTATGAAATGAAAAAATATCGATTGGCCACTGTTCGCTTTGGAGTGCAAATATCAACAAGACGACATAGGACAAGGTGTGCTTACATGCACGTTTGCTTACAGCAGATTATATGCAATTTTTTTGAAATTGTTACAACCTCTGAATTTGGACGGAAATGTTTTTGATGGAATTCGATGAAAACAAGACACTTATGTTACTTCGACAAAATGTCGCCAAATAGTATTTGTTGAAAATTAATTTTGTCTATTATCTGTTCTTGCGAGTCTTTTAAATGTTACAATCATGAACTATTTTTCGTAAATCAAAGGATTCCGTCTTTTAGTAACAATGTTCAAAATGCATAAAATTTTCGACTTGTTTTATTTTTAAGACGCATTGTCTTCTGTTTGTATCATTTAGAATATTCATTTAGTGTGCAAAATGTGATATTTTCATTTTTGTATAAACTTGATGCTGTAAATAATTCATTTAGAGAAAAATAAATTTGCAAGTGTTTTAGTTGTTCAAAGCTTGCAAAATTATTTTCATTTTCCCTAACTCAGCTCGAACCCTCTTTACCCTGTCTTCTGTACTGTCGTCTAACCTATTGCGCCACATCCTCGGCTTAATATACAATGGTCGCAGGACACTCTTGTCGCGGTTTAAATTACTTATTTTGATTATTTTTACGAAAGGCAATTTGCTGGGACCTAGATGCCCCAGGTTTCGAACCCAAGTCTTGCTGGGTCCGAGTCTCGCGTGCTATCCATTCCTCCAAGTGTCCCCACCCACCCACCACTGGTAGACTTTTCTTTTATAGTATCTAAAGGGAATTTTTGAAAAGGAATTTATTATGTTCCCGAATATTATTTAGTATCCGAATCGACCTCTACCCTTAGAGTTCCACCGAGAAAAAGAAAACGCTAAGTCATTTTACATATAATTGTTAAATATTTTATTTGGAGCAAAAAAAAAAAAAAAAAATTACCATTGATGTATTCTCACATTTGATAAACACTTTTTTTAATATTCTAAGTTATTTTAAGTTTTGAATATCCAGATATGTAAATCAAAAATAATAATACATGTATCTGCATAAAGATTCGTTTTAAGTTTGATTTAATAAAAAATAACTAATGATCTACTTGGATTATATTTGATAATGCGATAATAAGATAAAAATGACAATCAGAATTTTCAATCTCATCTTAAACAAAAGCAACGGCAGATATGTAGCTGTCTCACCCCACACCATCGCCGGAAAAAACGAAAGAAACTCTGATATGATAAATTACTATTTTAAAAGTCACAAAAAATTCCAAATTGTCAAGAATTTCAAAATGTGACAGCCTTTCCAAATAACGAGTTTCTGCCATTGTTTTTGTTTCATCTTAATCATAAGGTGCTGTGAATTAATTTTACAATTAATAAGACATAAAAATTCCGACAGTTATTACTTGGAAGAAATAAACATTTTTACTGTTTTGCAAGATATTGTCACAAGCAGTTTTGTGAAAAAAATTGAACATTTAACAGCAACCAATACGTTCAAATACTCTACAAGAGACACACTTCAACGGAGAATGTAAAAATAATCCCCTAGAGACATTATTGAAATAAACCATCTAATTGCAGCATGTGTAATTATCAAACCTAGACAAAATGGAGGGTCAAATCATGGTATCACTTATTACACCTTGCATTTATATTTAAAGTCGAAATTTTGTAATAAACGTTTTGTAACTTTCTGAACATGAAAAATGTTCTCATGAAAGAATATAAACGTCATTTCTGCATCTGTTGCTCAATATACCAATACTGAAGATGCTGCTGATCGATAAAATTGTTAAGCAGCAGAGTTTTGAAAATAGGACACTTTACCATACGATTATTCTCTTCATCTTCATGCAAATTAATGCCACAAATGCAAGTCATAGTAAACAAATAATTGTAAAAAAATATTACATACTATTCACATACATATTCACCTTAACTTTCAAAAAAATTGGTCATATCAAGATTACAATCCAGATGAGCAAATTAAGGAAACAAAAAGAGTTTAAAATATCCACGTTTATTAAATGCACAGTTAAATCGGTAGACTTGGATTAGCCAAATCAATTTTCCACTACATGTAATTATTGCAAATTGGGTCTTAAATATATACTCCATTACCGAAACAAAATGATCGAGTGTGGTTTGTAAAAATGAAACTTCTCACTCAACAAGACAGCAAGTTTCCAAGCTTCAAAAGGTGACACAGATACGAGTTAAAGCAACTAGATTTTAAGCCACCCTCGCTATGGAGATAAAGACTTGTGAATTTCACGCGTGCAAAATTACGTGAACGGAGTTTTCAAGGTGCTTTTTTTCTATTGTCGAAAAGGTCAAACTGAGCTTCAGTTTTTCTGGGCTAGAAAAGTAAGTTTTCCGTTTTTTAGCACACATTTGCAGTGAAATAAACATTAAGTCAACTTGCTGCCTTGCTGAGTAATACCGCACGTAGTTTCACAAACGTCACTAAGGCAAACTCAGATTTTAAATTGTAGTAAAACATGTTTGAAGGCATAAGGGGCGGTTTTATTCTTTGGCAAAATAATAAGTCTTGTTATTAAAGACTACGCAGTGTTAAATAGGCTTCGTTTTGTCTTTTTGCAAATGGCTTAAAATTTTGGAGGTAAAAAATCGTGATGAATTGCTTTGGACAAAGCGTTTTGATTAGGTGATATTCACATTAGTCATAAGCTAGAAATATCAAATTTACCTTCAAATATTACTTGCAAATGGCGCTAGCAATTTGCCCCCAATGCCTTGAAAATGGCCGCTTTCGTGATCGGCCATGCAGAAAGCAGTGCAACTATAAATCATATACTTCAGTGTATCGAAATATTACATATTATAGTGCTCTTTCACAAAATTCATGCCAAAATTCGAAATGGAAGTATATCACTAAACCTTTATCCTTCAATTGTGAATATTTTGTAGTACATAATTATGACACAATCTTATAAAAGAACACCTAGTTTTAAAATCAAAATTTTTAAGAGCCACTCCACAATATTTTCCCCAACTTGACTATTTCGCATGTAAAACTTCACTGTCACCTCTAATTCGACTAATGTATTGTTAATATTCTTGTAGTTTAAACATGAGGCACAACCGCAATTTTCACTGTCATGAGGTACGTGATGAAATAAAGGAGGCATGGAGGACACAAAATGTCACGTGGGGAAAATGTTGATGGGTGGCAAAACCCAATGTAGAACATCATCAAACCCGTTTTAAATGCATCAAAGATTAATTTCGAAAAGTACCTAAACCCATTGTTTTATAACGTTTCGTTGAATCGGTTAAACCTGAAATATCCATATACTTGGTATCCTGACCGCCTAGCATCCACACCCTGGTCACTCAGAACTGAAGAAGAAGTGACATCTCTTCAAAGGGTTCAGGTTAAAGTGACCCATCGGGGTAGTAGGCAGGAAGGGCTAGGTGACCACCCTTTCTATATAACAATGACCATAATTTGACAGACAAAATGTGATTAACAATGTACTAAAAATAGCAATGCACAACAAGCTTTTGTTTCCCACATATTATAAAACACTACATTAAATTAATTAAAAAAAGCTTCAGACCCTTACACACACCAAAGTAAAATGGCATAATGTAGGTCACTGGCTTTCCTTATATGGTATACTGTATGCTGCAATCTGAGCAGTTTTTGCCATGTTTGACAAAGCAAACCGTACTATAGCGCCATCTACAGGGGAACAGCAATGATATTCTCTGCTGCAATCGGTAGCTTAGCAGATAGTGGGTCTGTTTCATCTTCAGCACCACAAAAATGCGATAATGCAATTCGAACTGGCATTTATACAAATAAAGTAATAGGTTAATAACTTTATGAGAATAACACCAACAACAGTACGTTTTCTACAATATGTACGAACATTATCTCTGCTTACGGTCTGCTGTCATTTTTGATCTGTTAATTGACACTTAATTATATGGATTCAAAATCTATGTAAAACGACTATTTAAAATACTACATCAGTCTACCATAATGTGAAAATGTAATTATTAAATAAATAAACCCATTTTTAGAATAGAATTGAAAAGACGGAAAGTGAATAGATAAACTATCTATATCTATCAAAATTCCCTCTGATTACATGAACATAACCAATGTTTGTCTGCCTACTCGAGACGTATTCAACGTAAGTCTAATATACCCCTTATCTTTGTCTGCGTGTGGGTCATTTTTCTTATACGTAAGTGCTAATCACTGTGACAGTAGCTCAATTCAGTTATGTTCAATAATGCAAAAATACATAACATAAATTGCTCTTATGTAGTCCAAA